CACATCGAAAGGAGACTGCGACCAAAATTGAGGCCACGACATCTTGGACGCCATATATATATATATATATGTTTAAGATGAAGTAGTTTAATGTAAGGCCTAGATACAAGTTTGCCTCATCGCTAATCTAACTAGAAAAGTTTTGTAAGAGTCAGTCTTACACTGAAAGTCACGTCTGCTTTTTGACCTACAGACACAGTGTTATTTAATAGTATAATCTCAAAAATATAGGCCGCACGAAATGGTTTCGATTCGCATTGGGGTGGATAGAGCTACTATTGAAGATGCAGTAAAACGCTGCTTGAGATCAAATAAAAAGAATTTCTCATTGTGAAAAATCGAAAAAAGCCGGTAAAAAATTACCTCTCTAAAATCCAGTGAGAGAATAGGACCTGCATTCATAGGGAGGTTGAGCAAAGGACGCCGAGAAAGGCTTGAAACGATCTGAGATGAATTAGATAAAAAAGTATAGGCCTTGAAAACAATAATCAGCAGTTATGTTAAAAAGTGGAGTTTTAAAGAATCCTTTAATGGATTGCTGCTAGAGTACCTTTAATCTCACTTGAAGAGGCGAGTAAAAGGGATTACTAATTTGGCCCCACCGTAAGCTGAAGGGAGATTGCCTCCAACTTGTGGCTAGATTTGTCTCAAGAATCCTCGGGTCGCAGGGGAGGTGCGCCAAAGACTTATTCGCACAAATCTAGTCACAACATCAAGGCGATCCTCCTTTAGCTTACACTGAGACAAACTTAGGAATCCCTTCCACTCGCCTCTCCAAATAAAATAAAAGGCACTACAATAATTCAACTACCAGTTCCCTTATCACCCTAAAAAAACAAGGTGAATATAACAAATAAATATTAAGAAGGTTGTGAAACTTTTCTTAGAAATGAAACAACCAAAACAAAAATTGAAAAGTGCAGAAGACGATTTTTATAAGGCAAAAATATTAAGCATAGCTACGAAGACCAAGATGTTGTGGCTTTCTGTCTTAAGAAAATGGAATGTTACATATTTGTGATTATAGTAAGTAGTATTAGTGATACAGACCGGTGAAGCGTGTATTGGAGTAATTAGTAGAGGATTTTTATGAAGATAAAAATAATAAGCAGAAATTAAGCTAAAAACATTCTTCAACAATAAAAGACGACACAATATATGCTTTAAAGTAACACAAATAACATAATCGACTTCAAAAAAGCAACAAGACTGGATATACATCAGGGTTTAATTTATTATTACAAATAATACTATCTGAAAGATTCGTGAGGAACTAAAGAAAATAGTTTACCTTGCTATTTTCATTAGATAGGGAAGACTTGACGGAGAAAATAGGTGTAGCAAGGCGTGCTAGCAATGATGCATTTTTGTAGAGTTATCATGACTTATACAACTAGGCAAATGAAATAGACAAGGGTATTCGTGAAAAGACTATTCTGTAAAGTCTACAACGACAATCTTACTACAGAATGTGATATGGGAAAATTCCTTGTCTTCCTTTAAAATCACGTCTGTGCTGTGACTCAAGGGCACTCGTGGCTGTGTGGCGTAGCGATTAACTTGTCAAGACTATAAATTGTACTATCATGGTTCGAGTCCCGCCGGACCTATGCGAAGTCGAAATTGCAGTCCAATATGGATGAGAATAGCTTATGGAAAAGCAAGGCTATCCGAAATTCAATGAAGCGTAAGGCTTACTCACAGTACACACGCATACACATAAATAAAATGACTTGATTTATATGAAAGAGAACTAGCCAAATCATTCAATATTTATTTATTTATATATTTTTTTTAGAATTAGCAAATAGGATAGACCCAGCTAGTCCTCTTAACTTAATGATAAGGTTTGATAAGAATGAGTCCCAATTCTGACAAGGTCTGCCAAATGAAAGCAAAAGCTCAGCCCGTTTTGACCAGAAATGAGGGAGGATATTTGGTAGACTACATCAACTAAAGTGTGGTATTAAACCCAAACGACTGCAGAACGACGGAAATGATATATCGTCTTCTGGTGAGATCTATCTACGATTCCTATTAGCTTAGCATGTTAAAGTGCTTAAGATGAAAGAAAAAGCTCATCATGAACCACCATAAGAAATAAAACGTTAGAGGAACATAAAGCAGCCAGATAATCAACCATCACAAGCTAGAAATCAATATTTATGTGTGATCCTGATTAAAATATATAATGCCTACCATAATTGACCCATCCAATCCAACAGTGGCTATCAACCAACTTGATTGCTTCACTCCTTGATTCCATCTTAGCAATCCCATCGATTGATCTACCACCCTTTTATCTGTTGAAGATCGAACAGATTGAGAAGTCTCCGGGGGGCTGAGCAGGCCGAACGGCGGATGTAGAGCTGAAAAGAATGATACAAGAGGAGACGAAGGTGGCAAAGTTGTTTGTGGTGGCGTTGCAACCAGGAGGCGAGAAGGGGGTGGTGATGACGAGGTTGGAGAAGAAAGAGTATGAAGGGAAGTATAAGGTAGGGAAGAGGAGAAAGCATTTGCGGTAGCTGTGGAAAGTCCAGCAACTTGAAAGATAGTCCTGTGATGCAGACCAGGCCAGACTATATATGGTCGCCAGGATGTCAAAGTGGTGGAGTCCTTGTGTTGACTTTCAGATGTGATTGAATCAATGTGAGATGGCTGAGAATTTTCGACATCAAAAATCGCTGGCTGTGGTGTGCTCGAAGAAATAATGGAACGAGTGACGAGACCGAGATGGCCCTTGCTCGTGGCGAAACAAAAACTGAATGGAGATTAAAAGGTGAAGAGTTAAAGAAGGATGATTGAATAAATTAAATTTGAGCATATATAGCATTAAGTTAAATTAAGTGCAGATATGCTGTCTAAAAACAGTATGATACGGTCTCTGGTGTACTGAGAAATCCGTAAAAGAGCAAGGCATAGACACCTTACAGTGATTAATTAGAAATAAGTTTTACGATAGTCAGCAATCTAAATATATTAAAATTTGGGTGGCAGGTGCGGGCCTATGTAACGCAAAATGCACTCACATTTTGTGTCATGAGATAATATTCTTGAATAATATCCTTGACGAAATAGGCCAAAGGATATTTCGCCAAGGCACCTTACTTTCTAGCATTTTCTAGCGATCAAATAAACGTAGAACACCTTTTGCTTTCATCTTGTCATATTCCTTGTGTTTCAGCTCTAGATAATTTTTTTAGATTGTCAATTGATCTTCATACAGACTATATAAAAGGCTTTCTCAAATTGCTTGATGTCTGTGTAAAACGAAACCCTCCTACGGGTCAATCTTCAATCAGATAAGCTACTTCACTGAAGTAAAGGATTATAACGCAATACAATTTTGAATAAGACAATGTAATTTTTTTATTCATCTGATGAAAAATTGTATTATATAGTAGATATTAAGACCAATATGGCCTAGCAGTAGGTTCAGTCGCAGTCTCCTTAAGGTGTATAGTTTTGGCCTAACTCTGATTTCGCAGTGATCGGAGCGTCAAGAAGACCTCGTGAAAAATACGTAGTCTTGCATCCTTGCACATTATATTAACGATTATTTTCAGCATCAAACCGTTGGCACAGATTCATAGACGTTTAAGCAGTATCTTCAGCAAGGTGTGAAGATGACTCTACCTAATGGCGATGCCGGCGAAGCGTCTGAGAATGTACCAAGTCATCGGTCCGATTTTATATGCTATCAGGAATACTATGGATAAGCACACAAGACTAGATATGTTCCACAAGGTCTACTTTTCGCTCAAGCCAATTAGAGTGAACGAGGTCAAACCAACAATATTATTATATTAATGTGAAGATTTTAATTTTGCATGGAAATACATGATGAAGAGTTTCGTAGGCCAATCTCACCAGGAGACGTCGGCTGATTTGCGTTGTAATGCAGCCATTTTGCCTTAATACAATGTTCAGGTTAATGCAGTCCACGAGACATCCCCCAACGTGTCGTGTGAAGATTGGCCGTTAGACATGTGACAAACATAGTCAGAACTGGGACTCATTTGTGTAATATATATATATGCATACACTGATTACGGGCAAAATGTAAGACAGATAAAGACTTGAGTGTGTTTTTCTTGGTGTGTGCCAACGTCTGTAAGCAAAACCGGTAATAAATCAGAGTAATTAGAAAAAGGCTTAGCCTCAGTCCTGGCTCATCAAGGCTTAGTGACCC